TTCAGGTATAGTAGGTATAGTAGGTAGCTAGGTATAGTAGCTAGCTAGCTAGCTAGCTAGCTAGCTAGCTAGCTAGCTAGGTAGCTAGGTAGGTAGGTAGGTAGGTAGGTAGGTAGGTAGGTAGGCAGCTAGGTAGGTAGGTCGGGTAGGTAGGTAGGTAGGTAGGTAGGTAGGTAGGTAGGTAGGTAGGTAGGTAGGTCGGGTAGGTAGGTAGGTAGGTAGGTAGGTAGGTAGGTAGGTAGGTAGGTAGGTAGGTAGGTAGGTAGGTAGGTGGACTTCGAACAGTTTCGAATTGGGCTTTTACACAGGTTGCCTCATCAGCGGTACAAGTTACCATAAACGCCCATACACTAGGGAAGTCTAGATAGGCGGGATACCCAGGAATCCCAAGGCTGCATTGGTGAGAAAGGGCGGAACAACAAACACTTCAGGTGCCAGATCTCACTCTTAGTAGCACTATCCCCGTTTAGGTCCTCCATACAAGTCCCGTATAAACTGTATCAGAGTATGTGGAGCAAACCTATTGCAAGTGTCCTCCGCCGTGCGAGGACTACGATGCAGCCGACCACCGCAGTGGCCAAAGAGCACAACCTTTCGGGAGATGCTGCGCCGCAGGTCTTTAAAAGTTATCAGAAGGATCCCGGCACGGGCTCCTACAAGGATCTACAAGGTTAGCCTGGGGCCGGAGGCGAACGAACCGGCCATAATGATTAAAAGTAAGGCCCAGGATACAACTGTTGTCCTATTTTTGAGACGTTCGCGGGAGAATGCCACTAGTTATTCAGACTTCTGGGATCGCTACTAGGCCAGGCCTGCTACTTCTTTTGCTGTTTCTTCGCTTGAGTTCCGGCCACATGCCAACATCCAAGCTGGCTAAAAGGCGGCTCCACGGCATCCCCAAGACCTACAGTAAGCCCGAATCTAGGGCCAGAATAATTAGAATAAGGGTTTGGGGTGATGCAGGCGAAAGCCTGTCAACGAAGAGCGAAACAAAGGACGACATATGCATCTACAAAGATTGTGCATATACACGTGTAAAGAAGACATCTACAACTTGCTGCAGATAGAGTGCAGAAGTCGCAGCATTGCATCGTATTTTCGGGACCAGGAGTCCAAAATCTGTACAGGGAAATCTCTTGGTTTAGGGCATCCGCGTGTAAGAATAAGGGCTTGGGGTATATTGACATACTATAGGCGAAAACAAGAAGCACATATGCTACAACTTTACTAACTTGTTCAGGCCTACAGTATGTGCATGAAACCCCAGACCCGAAACCCTTCCGCTTCTGCTGACTCCATGCAGATAAAGCTGCACTAAAGCTGCATGCGTCGCGAACCTCTTATTTCGAGTTCGTTCGCGTTCGCCTCGGATTGCAGGCATGAAGACACCTTAAGCTTCATCACAAAGATGTGGCTTAGGCTTTGGGGTTCTTGCCTTGCAGGTACGAGGCCCCAGGGCCTAGGAGGATCCTGCAGCTAGGAATCTCCGAAACTCTGGCCGAGAATATCCCCTTCGCCATATACAGCCTCGTGTAGGGTGTAGGGTTCATCCCGAATGAGTGTATGGGTTTTCGAAACATGGTAATTACAGAATATACGGAAGTGTTTCCGAGTCTAGAACACCAGCAAGACAAACTGACATCA